AAATGTGACATACATTTTCGATGGGAAATTTTTTCAGCTCTCTGTCGAGTATCACATATTTTTTCCAAGTATGTATAGGTGATTTCCGGCGAGTTACAAATGAAGCAATTTCGCCTAAAAGTGCCGTACGGCGAGACTTGACGTAAAATGTCTCATATGCCTCATATATATAATAAAAAAAGATAAAAAGAAGAACAGCTGTAAGTAAAACTTCTTCAAAAACTGATAAATTATGAATTTTATTCATTATTAGTTTTGACGAAAAAAGTTTTATTTTTTATAGGCAGCTGTATTTTTATTCAACTGTTTTATTCACTCTTCATTTTCCATTTTTTTATCAAAATTATTTTTAATCTCTATGTGTATGTGTATTACACATTCAGAAAATTAAACATCATAGTGTATTTATTATATTAATTCAAAAATAAGTATAGGAATTAAATTGTACATCATATATGTCGTTGTTCGTACGTGCAAACAGGTAACGAACTCAACGACTAGTACGAAATAGTTCGCTGCAGTATGAGTCATATAAAAATAATAAGCCTGCGATTTGCGAGAGAGGCAGATTAATTGTCTTTCCTCAGCCCAGCATAGGCCTAAACGTGAGTCGTTGAGTGTACATGCAAATATGCTTAGTATAGCAAAATTTGTTTCTATCCGGACGGCCTGTCTCGCACGGCATAGCAGTATATACAGCTATACTTCACATACATATGCCGTAAGCGACTCGAAACTCTTGTGCCGCGGCAACATTGTACAGCAGCAATGCGCATTTGCCGTACCTATCGGTCTCCCTCAGGCCTGCGCTCGGCTTTCGTACTTATAACAGCACGCGAAACTCTTGCGCTGCGGCAACATTGTACAGCAGCAATGCGCATTTGCCGTACCTATCGGCCTGCCTCAGGTCTGTGCTCGACTTTCGTACTTATTATAACAGCACGCGAAACTCTTGCGCCGCGGCAATGTGTTAATTGTTATGCTAAAAAGTGAACACACGTCGCACCGCCAAGCCAGGCCACTAGGGCGAATATTATTCGTGTAGTCGTACGAGTTCCAACCAGTGATGACAAACTCAAGTGAGGTTACGTTGTCATACTGTTATATGTGCTGTTGCGAATTGCATTAATGATTCTTATAAAAATGGCTTGTCAGCAGTATTTCAATGAGTTCTACATGTGTTTCGACTATTAATGTTTAACGGTTATCTACATCAAACATTGTTTCATACTATGAATAGTGTTAATAGTTCAGCAAGTGAAATTAACAGTCTTGAAATAATAAAAGTTGCCACAAGTGAAGATACTATAGTAAAGACTTGTCTACCATTGCACACTATCTCGCAGTTTGTGATTTTAATCATAAATCCAACTCTCTAGAGTTTGTAAGTAAAGACAGTTCAAAAGACTGCTCAGCAAAAAGCAATAAACAAATTTCTAGAATTTGTACAAGTGCTAGTTCAAATGGCGTAAGGCAAGAAACTCTGTATCAAGCAATATTTTTTAGTAAGAAATGAAGAAACAGAAATGAATACTAGTGAACAATTGTGAAGTTCATTTGATACAAATTTAAATCCTATTGGTCCTTTTGTGTCTGAACATATTCCATACACATCTGCAATTGAAAAAGCTTGGAGAGCATCAGGCATGAGAAAGTCTAGTAATGCCAAACCCATTGTCATACTGACATTGCGCGTCGAGGGTCATGAAACATTGAGGATAAACAATATTTTGCCTACAAAAGATGGTAAACATTTAGTGGTCACTTTGTGTTCTCAAGAAGAAATACTTGTTGATGATTTGGTCAATAATACATTTGACATGAAAGTTGACAAAGATCCTAAAAATGTAATGTACTGGGATACTTCAAATAATTTTGCAGAGCTTCTGGAAAAACCTCTGCCAAATGGTGTATTTACTCATGCAGACGATGACGAAGTTCCAAATGCTTTGATAATTATTTATGCTTTGGATTTTTCTGGTGAAGTTGTAAGAGTAGCCCCAAAACCAATGAGAAAGGAATTGCAACCAAGCCAATCAACCAAAGAATGCATGCTCATACCTATGACCGAGAGAGATTCAAGTTTTGGCACAAGCATGTTGAATGCACCAAGTATCGAAGATTAACTATGTGAGCAAATGGATATAGTTTGTCAAGATGGAATTATTCGATTGTGGGATCTTGCTAGTCTGAAAACAAGTACTGAAACTAACGATGAAGATCAAAAGTTTATATCAGCTACTTATTGCAGTTGTGAGAACACATTCCCTTTTATTATAATTAATTCTAGTTAACCTCAAAAAAAAATGCAAACAATTAAAAATTGTTTTATCAATAATAATTTTAGGATTGNATTGGTTATTGGCTATTCCTTCCGTAAGTATTTTTCATGGACAAATTATGCGCTTTAATTATTTTTTATTATAAATCGTGTTTTAATTTTTTGCAGGTACCAGCTACGCTTTCACTCCCTCAGTTTGTGAACACTTATTTAATTCTGTGTTATGATTCCTGCGCCACATTTGCAACTTTATGTAATGGCTTTATTAGCAAAAGTAGCATAACATAAATAATGTTGGGGTGAATTCCTTGCTAATACCTTAGTCAATCTTTATCCAGTATTTTCTACACATATTTTTCAAATTTTTCAAGCAGTATTATGAATTCAAAACTGGTGTATCAATTGCTTCTCGTAGAATCTCTTCTTGAGTCAAAAACAATGAACCTATGGGCTTTAATGCTACTATACAGGTATGTGAATTGTAATGACATTTCTGTGCTGATAATTTTGCAAGCTATAGAAAATAATTTGAATTTTTTTTAGAACGGTAAATGCAATAGCAATAGCTGCTGGTTGACGGAAATGCAGGAATCATCTGTTTAACTTGAATCAATATTTATATGAGACATTGGCTGAATTACGTTAAACTGTAGCAGCATTAGAAGTTTCTTATAACACTAATAAGGGTTTACCAGAACGACAAGCCATGCTCGCTGTATCAATAATTGAAAAAGTTACAGGAATTTTATAAGTTCTTTTGGTTAGTTAATATTTTTTAATGTAATTTCAAAAAAGTAAAAGTTTTTTAACATTTTAATAATATAACAATAGATATTCCTTCAACCAGAACTGTAATTTGGACTCAATCCTCAATTTTTACATGTTTCTGCGCCAATGAAGTTCAAGAGAGTTTAGTCGTTGGATTTTTACATCACATGAAAATGATTTTTGTACCAATTTGGATCCTCCAAAGTTTCATGTTATTGAGTAAAATGTGCCCTCAGTTTGAAGACATTATTGGGCAGTATTCAGTAAGTAATGCTGGGAAATGATATCAATCTATCCATTATACATTCATACGTAAGTTCTTTTAATTTAAACAATGATTTTACGTGTTACAGCTATTTCTGAAATGTGTTAGACTGAGAACCTTCAGCAAATATGGACTACAGAAAGTAAACACACGTTATTTGCAGCTTTATCTTTGGCCCTTTCTCAGCAATGAAAACTAGGTACCTATGGATAATAATATTATATATTGCATGGCAATATTGAAGCACATAAAAATTTTACATGTGCATATTCGTGCACGAAATCAAAATTAAAAAAAAAAAAAACAAATTATCATTGATTTTGAATGTTTGAAAAAATGTTGTATCGTGCACAAATATTATGCTCGCATTGAACATACAAGTATTATATTATGTACAATTTATATTATGGACATGATTGTCATCATATATCATATAGAACATTTTTTCAAAATTAATAAATTAACTATAATCATTCATTCCTTTTACAGTTTAGTGCTGTTCGTTCCGGCAATGGTTTGCATTCAATTTCCAATTGTATACGTCGTTCATCATCGTGTGTTTTTCTCCTCTCCAGGAGTGCGTCTATTACGATCAAACGAGCATAAGAATTAAGCAACAAAAACGAGCAATAAATGTAAGTAACTTTATTATATTTTTAATTGCAATAGATTCATAATTAAAAAATAGTTGAATTCGATTTTTTTCACTTTTACAGCCACCAAAGTATTGTTACAATCATAGTAATTATGAAACGAGAAATATCAGATTCTCCACCATCTAGTTTTAGAATTGTGTACAAAAATGTTATTTCATTAATTACATTTCGAGCAGAGCAACAGTAATGCAGGTATGAATCCAGCAACGAGCTGCGAGGCGACAGAATATATCGCGACTTCATTCACGTACGAACTTGGAAAAAAGTATATCAGTATCTAAAATACTGTCTATATGCACGATGATTGGCGTCACAACTACAGTAGTACAATAAATACGTACTCGTAATAAATTATTTTTTTCGCAATGAATGTATTAACCTAAAGCTTTTTTGTTTCCATTGCAGACACAATTGCTGAAATAACTCATTGCAGCGACAGACCTAATCAAGATGTAAGGCAGAGCTAGATAACAAATAGCTTTAAATCTATTGTCTTGAAAGATTAATTTTGCATTTGTTCGTTGCTTAAAATTTCAAGAAAAAAAGATTGATGAATGACCGAAAAGTGTCTTAATGTAGATCATTTTTTGACACAATAATGCACATATTTTGTAACAATTCGCACGTATGCGAGGATAAAATGCGACATTTGCTTGGCTCAAAAAAGCGATTTCTGGCTGTCATTGTCGTAATAACGAGGAAATTTGATTTGTAACAGAACAGCAACGATCTGTGACTCGGCAGCGAAACCACAAGTTCTTAGAACAAATCGAATTTGTGTTCTTTTTTATGCTTTGAGCTTATATTGTAAGCTCAGTACTGTTATATTGTTGTCTCTGTCAGATAGGCAAACTGAAAATTCGTATGAAGAGTTTAATTATTGTTTACAATAAAAGTTTGATTTAATCAAACAATTAATTTAAGATATAAATTTTAGTTTTCCGACTTGTGTATAGTTTATATACTTGTTGGACGGGGTGTTCCTCGATATCGTCAAAGACGATTGTTGTTTCACAACATAATTTTATAAAAAAAATTCTTATCAAGAATTATTATATGTTTTTAATATTATAATTTTAGTTTTCCGACTTGTGTATAGTTTATATACTTGTTGGACGGGGTGTTCCTCGATATCGTCAAAGACGATTGTTGTTTCACAACATAATTTTATAAAAAAAATTCTTATCAAGAATTATTATATGTTTTTAATATTATAAGTTTAGTTTTCCGACTTGTGTATAGTTTATATACTTGTTGGACGGGGTGTTCCTCGATATCGTCAAAGACGATTGTTGTTTCACAACATATATTTATAAGAAAATTCTTATCGAGAATTATTATATGCTTTTTAATATTATAAGTTTAGTTCTATCATATAATGATAAACTAATGAATTATTTTGTTTGTTTGGCTTTAACCACATCAAAATATAAAACGCCTAATATAGGAGTGGACAATGCCATCTAGTGGCCATTTTCAAATTTAATTTTAAGATAATAAAAATGATGACCGATAATAAAGATCCCTAGGGTCACGTCGGCATTTGTCATCGTATATGCCTGGCCCTTAATTTCTACTTTAGAGTATAACTAGAGAAATATGTAGAATTTCCGATGATTCTGTAGGAAATATCATGCCCTGAAGTATAACAGAATAACCATAAAAGCAGAATTGGAAAATTTTCAATATTTTGAGCTAACATTTTTTTATGACTTCCATGATTAAACGTCAACAGTTAAACGTTATTGTGTGTAATTCAAATAGTTAATACATTTTATTGAAGAAATTACATAGTTTTTTCCTTGCCAAATGAATGATAAATATTTTTCAATGGATGATATTCTATCAATACAATTCATAAAGCATGTGCAATCTTGTTTAATTAAAATATTCGCATAAAGCCCCAAATCTATGAAGTATTGTGCTGTGGTTGTCGGAAAAAGTTGAAGTAAATTATTTTTTCATCGGAAAATCAATCAAAAATAACACGTAAATTTACAAGGCTCAAATGAACAAAAAACAGCTACTGAAACGATCTGGTGAAGTAAAAAAATATAGGTACGGAGCACAAAAAAGAGAGTAAACAAATCGAAAACGAAAAATGGCACAAAATCGAAAGGAGAAAAAGCTTCGAATTGTGCGTGTATCGTGGAAAGAGAGAAACAAGAGAATCCGCGATGTAACTCAACACGGATCAATGTCCACCTGCCACCAATCAGAATCAAGCCTGTAGTAACAGCAGCAGCAGCAGCAACTCTTGCTCCAAGGAAAACCAAAAAGCATTTCCGCATTGGATCTGCTGATAGCCAAAGAGCAATAGCAGCAGTAGCAGCAGTTCTATGTATTTTCGCCGGTGAAAAGTTACGCGGTCGAAATAGAGAAAACCACTGACACCGCACACTGACTGGAGCTGAAAGTGGGGAGAAGACTAAGGGATATCCATACATACTTTTACACATGTGAAGCAAAACAAAAACTAAGAGAGTAAAAAAGGCAATGAAAAGTCGGCAGGAAGGGAAAAGTAAAATAAAGAAAAGTCTGTACGAGGTTTGTTTGCCTTATTGACAGTATCAAAGGGATACTGCGGGGGTTCAACATTGGAAACGTACTAGCAGCGATGTCATTTTTAAATACAAATCGCTTAAATGACAAAGCATTATTTAATTAACACTCGTTGGAGGGAAAAAACATTATCTAACGAATATAATGAAAAAAAAAGAGTTGGCATTATAAAAGCCAAATGTTTAAAATTTAGAAAAAAGCTGCTACGAAATTGATTGCTTCAACATAAAATTATTAGAATTGAATTTTTTGTAACTTTCATAACTTTTAAAAATATTTGAACTTTTTGAAAGTAATCAAAAAATATTTTTCCAATGAACGATTTAATAGAAAATCAAGAATTAACAGTGCAGAACGATTTAATTTTTCTTTGGCATAATTAACAATTTATTTTGCCATATATACTTACTCAAGGCGCAGTAAAGCAGTAAAACAACAACAACGAGAAATCATTAGCAGCAAAAGGGAGAAATCAAAGAAGCTTCAGCAACAAGACCTTAGTAGGTAGCTGCTTGCGATGAATGCAGCTCTGCCAGTGGTATAGATTTAGAGCTCGAGCGGTACCGCAGTTACTATAGTAGCAGCAGCGGAGAAACCTACAAACGCCTCTGTAAGCGGGAAATCAAGTTTTCAAAGAGATATATGAGTCATTTCACGTCAAGTCTCCTAGCGCGGCGCCCGTGCGGCATTATTAATCGATATTGCTCAATTTGTAACTCGCCAGAAAAGCACCTAAATGCACCCAGAAAAAATATGTGCCATATGATTTTGATAGGAAATCTCCTCAGCTTTCCGATGATGAGGTCAGATTTTCCAAAATTTTCCATTTTCCCCGGAAAAACTTGACATAAACTTTCAAACTCAAATATCTCAAAAACGGCATTTTTAAGATTTTTTTAAATAGTGCCAATCGAAAGCTGAGAAAATTTCCTATCGATATGCAAGTTTTCAGAGAGTACTTTTGATAATTATTCAATGAAATACAGCGACGAACGTGTAAAAACGTGAGATTTTGCGCCGCGCGGGGTACTGCGCGCGGGAACAGCTGCCGCACGGGCCGAAATGTCACGTTTTTACACGTTCGTCGCTGTATTTCATTGAATAATTATCAAAAGTACTCTCTGAAAACTTGCATATCGATAGGAAATTTTCTCAGCTTTCGATTGGCACTATTTAAAAAAATCTTAAAAATGCCGTTTTTGAGATATTTGAGTTTGAAAGTTTATGTCAAGTTTTTCCGGGGAAAAGTGAAAATTTCGGAAAATCTGACCCTACCATCGGAAAGCTGAGGAAATTTCCTATCAAAATCATATGGCACATATTTTTTCTGGGTGCATTTAGGTGCTTTTCTGGCGAGTTACAAATTGAGCAATTTCGATTAATAATGCCGCTCGGGCACCGCGCTAGGAGACTTGACGTGAAATGACTCATATATACTAAAAAAGCTAACCCGCAAGCACTACTTATATGTAGGCTCGCGCAAAGCGTTTCTCTGCGCACACTCGCAAGTGGGTGAGCGAGCTTTTGTTTCTCTCGCGGTGCAAAATGTTTATGTGTTTGCGTTTCTGCGCGAATGTGTGCACTGTACACGCGTGTGTATGTGTGTCGGTGCATAAATACACATGCGATGTACATCGTGTGCAATTCCTTTGCCATAGCAAGCGTGTGAAAATTATATATGCAGTTGTACCGACTCTCTTTTCTCTTGCGCGCAGGAAAAACTGTACAGTCCCGCTGGATTTTTCTCTGACTCACAGGCAAAGAGTACAGGCGTTTATAACGCGTGTAAATGAAAAATTTGTTACGAGTGCGAACGTTTTCCTTTAACCAATTTTTTGCTTTGGCGTACCGACAAAATCCACGCGACGCGTTTGTAAGGCAAAAAGAAAAAAGGAAACCGAAAAACTATTCTCGTTATCGCGCTGGCACATCAAAGTCAAATGATTTGGTTTTTTGCCTGTGCGCTCGACGCTTTTAATTAAAATAATAATAATTATTTCGCCGGTTCGAACGTTTTAAAGAGTTAGTGAAATATATAAATTTAGCAGTGTCAGAATGCCGACGCAGCGAAGGCAGCGTTCAAAGTGACTTTTGTATTGAGCGCGCGGCAGTACAGTGGTGGCAGAAGGCAGCGGGCTCCATGCGGTAAATTTGACTTGGTTTTAATATTTTAGCGCTGCGCGCCCAGCAGGGCACGTGGACGGCCAGAATTTAATTTGAAAACTACGCGTTGTATGTTCTCGAGGCATCGTGCAAGAAATCTCGGTTCGTGAAGAGCAAGAGAGAGTTTTAGGTCGAAGCGATACAAAACACGAATTGTGCAGCACGTATATTCATATAATATATACACTAGGTGCAAGAAAAATAACACGTGGCACCCCTAAGGTGAGCAATATTGCACGTTATACAGC